TCTCACCAAATCAGATGTTCCCTTCGCAATTAAGCTTGTTTTCTCAATATCCGGGAGCTGTTTAGTCAACAACAAAAGAAAATTAATCGATTTCGCTCTGGTTACCAGCAGTGACAAACCAGCCGGTTTTTCTGTGTGATTTGTGTCGCGGAATGCCTCGTAATATGTGCTAGAACTTCCGAGTTCAGTGCAACAGAAGGGATGAGATCTGACTTACATTCAACTGTGTGACATGTGACCGTTTTAGTTATGGAGAAAGTTTACCAACTACAGGCTCAGTTACACTGCTTTCGTCGGACCACTTACGAGGAAAAATCAAAATCTGGAATCCTAAGAGTTCAAGAAAAATTGGTGATATGGCTTTCGGCTATATACAAACATCTGTACATACATACACACATACACACATACATACATACATACATACATACATACACGCACATATTTGCTCAAATAACCGCTAGATTCAATCTAGTCATCATGAGGGTAATTTGAAGCAGATTTGTTGTACAGTTTGTTTACTTGTCGGCTCGTTTGCGCTGTCGGTTTTTGCAACGAGTGTGCTCAACTGGCTTTCCGAGCCCGGGTGTTTTCTTCAATCTATCCGTTTCGTCCCCGCGCACAGCGCAGATTTATCATCCCTGTGATGACAATTTAAACAGGAAATTAAATGCTCTCCCCCCCTATCCGCCGGTGGTAAACTATCATACAATTTTACATAACCATTTAGGACTGTGTCAAACAAAAATTGTCGGACTATTTATTGTCGTTGACAAACGCATGCACACTCACTCATAAGTACACACGTGTTCCTCGGGGTTGAGCAGTTTGAAAAAAGTTGCGGGCTAGTTGATAAATGTACTCAAACTGAGTTATCCAACGATCGGCCAGCATGGTGGGATTAACCAAGTCCCGTGGACAAACACTGATTGTTTCGTTCAACGCAGCTGAATTAGAAACGACGGCTAATCTGTACGTGATTCATTGACGGGCTGATTAGAATGAAATATATTACTAATTTGCCCTGACACTAGAAAGTTCATTCGAATAGGCTTCCTATTTCCATTTTAACTCCAAATCAGGTTTTCATCATTCCAGTTGTGAAAAGAAATTTTCATTGTCATAGTGCATGTAAATTTATAAAATGATTAAAGTAATCAATACTAAACTGGGGGGGGGGNGGTATTGACGAAAAGGAATCTCCTGTCTCGCGCGAATAGTCTTTGGATGTATACTGTATCGTAGTAAAACAATGATTACACTAAAATAAAGCACTCGTGTATGATAGACATACTGCATAGTGAAATACAGTGAACAATTCCTTTGAATTAGTATTACACAGTCATTCAGACTAGAGATTAGATGCCATGAAAAACGCATCAGTTTTCTGATAATGCACTAGGGTTTTAGGAACCAGCATCCGTGTGGATATCGCTGGTTTTCTAGTGTGAACAGTGATGAACAATGAATGGTCTTATGGTAACGATAATGTTACGTTGAAGATGCCACAAAATAGAAATCGTACTAACAATTGGTATCAATTGTATTGGAATCGCCGATCGACCGAGCTCGTGAGATAACTATTTCGTCGCGATTGGAACTCCTCCTTGTCTGCTGGAACTAGAAACCCGAAATGTTGAGCTGTCCCAACTACGCGGTCCAGCACCAGTGGTTTGCGTGCAAGGTCACATCGAACTAACAAATAACGGTGTTTTACTAAAATATACTCTTTTTCTTTATTATCTAATTGAACGAATCGAACGAATGGGAACAACCTAGAATACCTTTCATATTTTATCATATGCGTTTCTGGTACCCTCTTAGTTGAAGCAAGCGAAATCCGTTGCTGCGGGAATTCAGTATTTATTTACACGGCATAGTTCATGTAAACATGTAAGTACTTGAGTGTAGAAAATTCGGAAAAATCCATTCGTTTACATGTGATGGAAATGTTTACGATGAACAACAAAGAGCACTAAACAGCTGTTTCGTCCTGTTTGGGACTCTTCAGCAGTGAGTACTTTTTACGTGCCAGGACTCGAACTGCGAACATTCGGGACTTGGGAATTCAAACCCTTACCCCTGAGCTACACAGTCAACGGTCATCACCTAGTGCGAAAGGTCCAAGCAATCAACAAGAGCAAAGTTGGAATAGTCCATTCGATTGTTCATTGTCGTTGATCTCTGTCGATCATCACAAATCTTTTCATCGCTTAAAAACACATGTAAAATTTCCTCATTGGGACCGTTTTCATTCATTTTTTTCAACCTTTATTTTGTTTTGTTCCACGAGTTTGACAAAGGACTATTTGTGAATTTTTGTCAGTAGTTAATGCATTTTTCAAACCTCATGTAAAACGACCAGCCACATCCCGAGAAACACAAACACCATGTGTGCGTGTACAGACTGTTCTTGATTGCCGGACCGGTTAGTCGGTCGGTCGGTCAGTCAGTCGATTGGTCATTTGATTGCATTACATTGTGACATTTAATACTCCCCACAATGGTGCGAGGGTGAGTGAGAAAACGGATACACCAAATGGAATCTTGTGATTGCATTTGACTTGGAACAAAAAGAAAATAGAATTATTAAAAAAAAACCAATTCAACCGGATTGCGATTGCGCCAACAGTTCACAACGAACTAGCTAAACAGTTAACTATCCTATCCTATCCATCTGTTTGTCATTCGTGTATCGAAATTTGATGCCACAGAATAAATTGCTTTTTCCTCCCAACCCCCTGGTCTCTCACACTTGGTCCCGCACATTTCATTCAAACAGAGAACACAATGATAATGAACTACTAAACAGCCAAGTGATTTGTCCAAGTAACAATTCATGGTGGCGAAAACTGTTAAGCCGAGGTGATTTCGAACAAAGTCAGCGCTTGGACAATCGGTGAGAATGTAAATAGTTTGTTTGAGTTCTTGTGTCGGTTCATGGCCTTCGTCCCCGATTTTTGTCGAAGATTTGGTTACGTGTGTAGCAGTTATTCTCATGAAACAATTGGAAACTTTTAAGCTTGCGTATTAGTTAACCTCTTTCCGATGGTGGCTCCGTTTTGAACTGCAGTGACAATTCAACACTATCCCTTCCTGAACGATCTCTTTTATAAAACTGACTTGAATTTCTCAATGTTAGACAACAATTATTTATTTATACCACTAAATTATAGAATAATATCAGTAGATCGGCTTCCACGGAACTAACGGATGCCCCCAACCGGTACTATTCCGAGCCCTAAAATGAAAATCGTGCAATTATTAATTTGTTATCCATCTTGGTATGAATCACGAGGTAAGCCTCGTGGTCATAAAGATCAACTGTTCTTTTATGGACCCGGTATCCTGAACCGTGTGACCTGGAGTGGCCAACTGTAATGGATAGTTTAAAATGTTTTCACAATAAGTAGTATATGAATGATAAGACAAAATTTCCCAAAAGCAAACGACCGGTTTCGCGATCTGTGCCGTACACCACGCATGCGTATCCGGTAACCATTGGCCATTGTTATACTTGAACTCCTGATGTGAATTAGGCAACATAAATCTCATCGCATCTCGCATCAACTCACCGAGCTGCAAATGAGATTTGCGTTGTCTAGTTTGTCATGTAATAATTCAAACTCTCAATATCGGATACAGGAACATCTAAATTAACCTGTTTAAATATATTAAAAAAACAGAACTAAAGGACCAAGGAGGAGCCTATGTTCCAGATATTAATTAATATTTCGAATAATATTGCTGGTGGAATTCGTATACGTGTTGAATGAGCGTAAAACTCCTTGACATGACACGTGCACTACCGATGCGCTCTAATAAGGGTGAAACTCGAGTCTAGTACTTCCGAGTGTATGGTTGACTGGAAGAGCTGGCGACTGTGCGTGACGGGTGATGGTCAGTTTTGATCAATCAATAAAATAGGAAATTTGCTAAATCGGTTCAATTTTTTCGTTACACACCTAAGTGTGATGATCAGCAGACGGGGCGAACCCCATAGTCACGAAGATCTACCGTTCAGTGGTGGAAACCGACAAACTAAGCTCCGGGACATTTGGAGTGGCGAACCACATAAGGCCCCGATAGGTTAGGTGTGGTATTGAACAGGACGACAGCAGAGTTGCCTACTAGCAAAAGTAGGGTGACGGTGGCAGGGCTCAAACCTCGGACCATCGGATCCAGAGAACACCGGTGACAGCGACCAAACCACTGCGCCGCCACCACCCCATATTTTACAATATTACTCAATTAAGCCACAATAACTAATAATGAGATTAGAGGGTTTCTCATCAACGCATTTTCCACAGTCAAACGCTTAAAGCATTCCCCTCCTTTTATCATTTATCTATCAATGTCAATCGAGAACGAGATCGTCACATGACAGTTATACAATCCATGTATTAGGATGACAAAATACAATGAGCCAGAAAAATAAAAACAAGTTTGTTAAAGAATAAATCCATTTACTACTGGGATGGGCTCATCATGTCGAGTCAATGCATCACTCACTGATCAGGGGAAATCGTTGGAAATGCTCTACGACTGCTAGTTAGTTTATTAGTTAGTTATGTCAACTGAATTGCAATTGTCAACTNCAAAGAATTACTATGGCAATCCGTTATGCAGAGTTGTTGCGTTATGTTTAGCGTCTAACAAGGAAATCAACTAAAACAAACGTTTTCTCGTGGTCTTGGAAAAATATATATATATTTTTCTTGACAATAGCTTTGTTTGCAACACCGAGTGACTTTTGAATAGACTGCCGTTTCAGAGCTAGTTGATTCAAGAATCAATACTATGATTCAATGTTTTGTCACGTCACATTGGTTGTGGTTAGTAGGGGGTGGTGGCGCAGTGGTTTAGTCGCTGTCACCGGCGTGCTTTGGCTCCTATGGTCCGAGGTTCGAGCCCCGCCACCGTCACCCTACTTTGGTGGTAGGCAACTCTGCTGTTGTCCTGTTCAATACCACGGCTTATTTATCGTGGCCCTATGTGATTCACCACTGTAAGTCCCGGGGCTTAGATTGCTGGTTTCCGCCACTCAACAGCAGGTCCTCATGACTATGGGGTTCGCCCCGTCTGCTGACCATCACACTTAGGTGTGTAATTTTAAAAAATCTAACCCACCTACAAAACATCGTTCTTCTTCAATGTACTAGCTCTGAAAGAGCGATCTATCCAAAAGTCACCCGGCGTTGCAAACAAGGTTATTGTGACGAAAATACACTTCCTGGATACAAGTAAATGAATGGACTGGCAAAAGATTACGCATGCCCGCCGAGCGGCAAGAACGATTAAACCGGTCGCGCGTTTCCAGAGAAATTTTGTCTAGTCTTTCATATACTACTTATTATGAAATATATATACCTTTAATGTTTCAAAATATGTTTCCCACCTTACAATTTATGCGCTTCATTTTTCTATGAATCACAACGGAATCAATTAAACTCTTAACATTTAAATTGCATTGATTTGAATTCGTTTCTCGCTAGTCGTAATAATTTATGATCCACGTGCTATTCTGTCCGGATACTCATATTGATTTGCCAAATTAGACTCACCTTGAGTTGGTACAATCCGCATATAGTACGTCGAATTCTTGCGGTGCAATCAGTTTGCAACGATTCACCCCTGGTTGTATGGCACCCAAACCGCGCAGGATCCGAACCTGTTCCACGTTGCACACGACCGGGACTATTTCCAATCGTTTCAATTTTGTATAAACTGTGTGCAAACCACCGACTAAGTGTTTTAAGAAAAGTTCGAATGCCTGGGGCAAACAAACCAAATCCCGTCCGTCCACAGTGAACGCCGCCAACTGTGCTCCACGGTACTCAAGAAGACGAACTTGATTGTTCTCCGGCAAATTTGGAACTGGGTTGGGTGTACAGTATGCCAAAGGTTTGGACATGGGATTTATCGGGCGTGTGTTCGGACCACTGGACGAGGTTGACAATGATAACAGAGGCTGTGGAGCTGTCAACGGGAATGGCAACTTCAGCATTCCACTCAACTGATCATACTGGGTCGGACAACTGGTTACAGCTGGTTTTGTAGACAAGTCGACGACAGTGGAACGCTTTTCCTCTGCAACCGAATGCGCTTCGGTCAAAATGCATCCGGGTTCACGATAGACAGTAGAACTGGTTGATCCAATGCCACTACTGTTCATTTTACAACTCCAATCGAGTGCTGCTTGTTCGGTTTTATTGTTATTGAAATCTGCGGCACTCTAAACGTTGAACCAAAGCTTTGAGGAACACAAGACGGACAGAGTGGAAACCGTTTCTGACCACGGTCGAGGGACAATTGCGTGCGCTATTTTTCCGTTTCTACTATTTCGCTGTCACGCGCGAACAAGAACACACACGCACGTTCAGCCTCTCGCTCTCTATCTCTCGTGTATTCCCCCTGTTCTGTTCTTCTGTACGTTTGTGTGTGTGTGTGTGTGTGTATGTCTACTATACATTTCCTGTTCTGTTTCTGTATTCGTGCTCGAATCGCACATTATAAAATATGCACAGTAGTTCGAATGAGTTCCTTCCCACTCCATCCCGATGACGAGTGCAGGGTTNGGGGGGGGGGGACGAATGATGAATGAACATGAGTGATTGTGTGTTTGTGTGTGTGTGTGTGTGTGTGTGTCAGAAAGAGCGAGAGAAAGAAAATGGGATGGAATGGACAGAATCCTTTGTGAAAATCCCATTTAGAAAACGGGTACATCGGAAAGAGATAGGTCAATATTTGTATGTATACGCATGCATGCATGCGTGTGTGTGTGTGTGCGCGCGCGCGCGTTGTGTGCTGTGGTGTACAATTGGCACAATTCTCTCTCTCTGTCTTATTCGTCGCTCACTCATCTGACTAGCATCTCTCCACCCGTCCCACTCTCCACTCACGCACACACACACACACACACATATAGATATGTATATATACACATACATATATATATATATATATATATATACATTCTCCTCCTCCTCCGTCGTCGTCGTCTTGTTCCCTCTCTGTCCGATCGCTTTGATACCGTTTTTGCAGATCAGTTGTCCTTGCAATTCCCGTTTCGAATGTGTCTGCGAAAATGACAGGATAATTCGCATTCACCCCGGGCGGCGGGAAATGGGCGCGCGCGCGCGCGCGCGCGCGTATGCACGAACGCGGGCGCTCGAGACCGAGACCGAGAGAGAGAGAGAGAACGCACGACGTCGACTACGACGATCGACAAATGGTCTCACATCGTCCGCCTCGATTCAAATCCACCGAAGACAAACGTCCCCACACTCACTCACGCACACACGCTCACGCACACATTCCGAGATAAGTCTGCCCCGGAATACGCGATTCATGCCATTGAATGAGAGAATGTGAACGGAATTATTTCGTTTCATTTGTACACACACGCTGTACCCAATCATTTAAAGCACACACACGCACAAATACACAAACACGCTTCCACCCCTCACTTTGACGTTCTATCTCCGTTTGCCTAAGTGTTATATGGATGCGCGCACACACACACACACACACGGAGAATGAGAGACATTTGTCTATTTGCAATTGGACCAATCACGGAGGTAGTAGGGGTAGAAAATAAAAATCTGTCCATCTGCATCCATTCTGATACGGTTGTCGACCGATCCCCGTGTGTCCGGTTGCATTTGCCTGGGCAAACGTGTCTAACACACCGGATCGGTTGCGTATGCCGGTGCAGAGGAGGTGGTCGCGTTTACGACTGAAGTAGAATAGAACAAGGGATAATGATAAAGATGATGATGGTGATGGTGATCACGATGGTGATCAAGATGATAATCGTAGAATGTGAGCGATGTGTATGTATAGCAGGAGACATACAAACAGGGTAAACAGCACAACCAAGAGGACACATGACGAATGGAGACTCGGTTACGAATGAATGACCGAAGATAGGACCAATTACATACAAACACAAACATACATAGATACAGTTGTAGAAGAAACCGAGCCGCGGTGAGTTGAACTCGGTAAAGGGTTTGTGTGTGTGTGCGCGTGTGTGTGTGCGATGAGGTTTGTGTACTCGAGTGTGAGATTAACACGCTCCCTTTTTCAGCCTCATCTCGGATAGCAAAATAATGGCCGATTATGTTGTATTGAAAAGTCACTGCTCGAATCGATTGCGCGTGTCTTACACCCGGAAGGCAGATAGAACGAGAGTTGCAAACAACTATGGGGAATGACTAACGACAATCAGACCCGTAGATAAGGGAACATACATAGTCCGTGAAATGATCAACGGATGAAAGTGAAGATATATTGGAATAATGTTAACAAAAGAGATAGAGGAAAATCATGTGCAAAAAATAGTGTGCATAAATTATTCGCTTAGTTAATGGATATGATTTATCTGGAAGAAAACAGTCTGTCTTTCATACACCAGGCATTGGATTATTACCAATTGAAATAAACTTGTATATTATTTTTTATTGTATTTTCATACTACGAAACTTTATTCTCCTCTTTTCTGTTTCGTCATTTTACCGACTTGTCTTGTTCATGGGACTCCCCCCCCCCACCTGGTGGGAATCATATCCCCGATTACCAAACCTAATTGTACAATTCACCTGATCATCGAAGATGGGATCAGGCTTTTTTCAATGTTATATATAATATGTAATTAAGATTCACACACATTTTGCTCACAACTAATGACACTCATCTAAGCACGGAATTGTCGCGATATTCGTCGCACGGTTGGAAACATACCGAAACGAAACGATTCGTATGAATGATAGCTGTTTAAAAAGATCTGGAACAGAGCGTTATGTTCAATGATTAAAGAAACATGACAAGGTAAATCATCCGAGATTACAGGTATTGATCAAACTCGTGATGCACCCGGACTTTCAACAGATTTGTTCATCTCAACGCTTCGTGTTTTGAGCTTCGTTCCTCAGATTGAACTTGATACCGTCCCACCTCAGACGCAATATAGCTGTAATCATATTTTTTTGCTTTCAGTAGTCGAATGCCATTCAAGTATACAATTGATCGATTTCGTCGACGTTTGCTGATGCATCAGTTGTAAAAGAACAAAGCCTCAAGGTCGCGCGAATTCAAACGGTGATACGAGACAACTAAGAAGATTGGAATGAGGGATAAGGTCTGGACTAGAAATTCTTCATCCGTAGCTATCGATATACAGGCGTGTTACTGAAATTTGAAATAAATGTTACATGAATTCGACCGATACCTGTATTTATCGGTCGTAATTGGAGCGTTCACCGTGCTATAGAGATGAAGTTTATCACTATATAAAGACACATAACGTTACCAAGTCCTGAGTGACATCATGTGATATGGGCCACGTTGAGCTGGGTTAGACAGACCAATCGAATGACACGCCCAGATTCGCAATCAAATAGCTGTGGTGTTTCTATGTTATTTAGTAATCAGTGGTAAGTTAACCACCCATCCATTCTTTCGCTTAAAAATAAACATCCATCAGTCAATCTCTATTTCGGTGTGGGTGTGTGTATCTTCACAAAAATGGAACAATCTATGTTTTATTTGGTGCATTTGTGATTACTTTATGCATACGATGAATTCTTTATATAAATAAATCGTGAACAAAAAGGCTAGGAAGTACTGAATAACGGTTTCGACCTGGTTGAGTCTCATCAACGCAGTGCGAATCCATCAATCTAACAACGGGTCGAATCTGGGACCCAAACCAGGTTGAAACAGCTGTCCAGTACTTCCTAGCTTTTCAGGTCACATTTCATGTAGACGACGAATTCATCCCATAATCAAATCAAATTCTCCCCGGCACACAAAGTTCTATCAGTAAAAGCTAACAGAATGACTATTAGGATAACGTGCAGAAAATCGGATGATCGATTTTTCCACTGATATGACTATTTAATTATTGACAGTGCTATTGATAAACCGCACACATGTGACATATTTGATATGGGATATGTATATAACATATTCCATTTTCGATTTACAGGAGGGTGTCTATGTGCAAAGAGATTCAAAACTTTGTATCTGAAGTGTTTTATACTATTTATCCGATGAATGTTTACATTAACCCATTCGATCTTTCACATGCACCAGGCACTGTTGATGATCTGTCTAAATTGATTGAGCCATTCACACAAGATGATGACCATCGACTGTACCGCTCAGGGATAATGGCTTGAAGTCCCAACCCTCGAAGGTTCGCGGTTCGAGTCCTGACAAAGGCGCTCACAGCTGATTAGTCCCAAACAGAACGAAACAGCTGTCCAGTACTCTTTGCTTTATACTATGTTTAAAATATCGTAACCGTGAAAAGTTTTATTTTGTTTATTTTTTATCACACAATGTGAATTACAGTAAAATGAGAAATCCCCATAGACAAATAGCATACTGTAAAAGGGAGAGTAGGGGAACATTCACGTAAGATCCAGTTTATTGATTCTGCGTTTCAAAAGTGTAACATTATAAGTTGGGGGGGGGGAGGTAACAGCAAGTGGGCGGGTGTTCCACAGTTTGGCAGTTTGGGGGAAAAAAAGAAGAGTGGAGAAAAGAGGTACGACATCTGGAAACAGAAATCTGATAAGGATGATTAGATGCCTGTGTTTGGGATGGGCGGGTAAAAGTTACAAGAAGAGGAACTGTCGAGGTAAGTTCCGAAGAACGAAAACCAAAGTAGTAACGGTAGAACAGGGACAATGAAACAACTGCCTGACGATAGGCTAGTGATTGCAAACTAGATGTTAGGGAAGGATGATCGATTAGTCGGATGGCCTTTCGTTGAACACATTCAAAAAGGGAAAGGGAAGAGGATGAAGCCTCAGCCCACACGTGACTGTAGTATTCAAGAGCAGGACGGATTTGAGCTTTGTACAGTAGAAGATGAGCTAGGGAGAAAAACCGTGTGACGTGAAA